AGACCTGATCTGAATCTTGCTGGCTATAACTTTGGAGAAGTTGATTGGGGGGATGGGGTGGGGGGGTGTTAAAGGGAATAGCAACAACTTAATCTTGATCAAGACAATGTCTTAGCTTTTATTTTCTCATTGTTCAAAAAGGGTTATCTGGTTCTAAAATTTAAATTTTGTTTCTCTTTTTGTTTAAAACAACTGATAAGAGATTCTAGAAATTTTTTCCAGTTTTAATTTGCAGTGTGCATCATGTGAAACTTCTTTGCCCCTCACAGGCAGTTGCAGTGGTGCAGAATGGCAGACCTCAGTCTTGCAGATGCGTTGACAGAGCCACCTCCTGAAATTGAGGGAGAGATAAAGCGAGACTTCATTGCCACACTGGAGGCGGAGGCCTATGATGATGTTGTGGGAGAAACTGTTGGAAAAACTGAGTGTATTCCTCTTCTGGATGGTGATGAAAAACGTGGGAACTCAGAGTCAAAAAAGAAATCATGTTCAGACACTAGCCAGGTTGAAGGTAAGTTAAGATAATAGGATAAGTATGTTCAGATTGGGGTCTATGACTTGTGTCATAATCTTAGAAACCTTGAAGACACTGTAGACTAAAGTTTTGTTTTTTTTTTGTTTGTTTGTTTGTTTTTTTTTTTGGTCTTTTTGAGACACGGTCTCCCTGTAGCTCCAGCTGTCCTGGAACTCACTTATAATGTAGACCAGGCTGGCCTTGAATTCACAGAGATTTGCCTGCCTCTGCCTCCCAAGTGATGGGATTAAAGGTGTGTGCCACCACACCTGGCTAGACTAAAGTTTTGTTAGAAATCGAGGAGCTAGACATACTGACCTTTAGTTGAGTTAGGTTCATTAAGCTACAGATTACTTTCAATTCTTCATGTCTTCTGTAATGTTTCATCCTGTTTTTTTTAATATTTTGAAATTTATTTCAATTTTATGTGTGAGTGTATTGCCTACATGTATGTAAGTGCACCATGTCATGCACTGCCCATGGAGATGAGAAGAGGGCGCCAGATCTCCTGGAACTGGAGTTATGGACGGTTGTTATCTGCCATGTGGGTTGTGGGAAATGAACCCAGATCCTCTGCAAGAGCAGCCTGGGCTCTTAACTACTGAGCCATGTCTCCAGCTGTAATCTACTGTTAATCTGCTTCCTAATTTCCTAAATTAAGACAACTGTCTCTTCTTTGCATGTAACTTTGTGAAGTTAAATGCGTAAAATTTTGTGCTTATATTAGAATTTGAATTAGATTGAAATTAGATGGTACTTACTGCTTTGGGGATGATCTCAGGTCTTCTCTATTGGCTGGATCAATAAATGCACCAATAAAATCTATTTCCAGAAAGAATGGGCCATCCACTTTATCAGCCAGGGTGAATCTTATAGAAGAAATCTTGTCAAGTATCAGCTGAGACTGGACATCTTGGGTTTTTCCTTGATTTCAGAAGGAAAATTTGAAAAAGGTATCCTTGCAATACTGGATATCATCGCACAGTACCCACTTTGGCTATACTGTCCCTATTCTGAGGTGCCTCAGAGTTCAGCATTTCATAGAACAATGCACTTTGGGGTTTTTTTGTTGTTGTTTTTTGGTTTTTTTTTGGTCTTTTTGAGAAAGGGTCCCTATGTAGCCCCAGCTAACCTGGAACTCACTATGTAGACCAGTCTGGCCTCGAAATCAGAGATCCACCTGCCTCTGCCTCTGCCTCCCCAGTGCTGGGATTAAAGGCATGTGCCACCACACCAGGCTCACTTTGATTATTCTTGTCCATTTTCAAGAGTTCACTTTTGCCTTATCAGAAGTCACTATGTATTTACCCAAATCATGGTTTTTCACAAAACTGCCAGACTACTGGAAGAAAAGCCTACAAAATGAAGACCTCAGAATGGATACAAGGCTGTACTTGGCCTCAGGCAGTTTCTGAAAATAGAAATGCCATTGTAAGAAACATTCAAAAGGTAAAATTTCCTTGGCTCTCAGAAAAGAAGCCTCAGCAATCAGCCCAATGTCACCTTTCCACTTCCCAGGTGTTCCAAATGTTCCTTGGTGCTGGAACTGGTGGACCTTTCTCCCTGTACTTACTCATGAGTGATTCATTCAATACAGCATTAACTTGACTCAAGAAGAACATTTTTAGCAACTCCCCCACCCCCTGACTCCCCACCAGATTTTTCAGGGCTAAGGATTGAACCTAGACTTCAGACTGTGGTCCTGATTTTTTTAAATCTTTTTTTCATTTAGGTGTGGTGTGTGTGACATAGCATTTGTGTGGAGATCGGAGGACAAATTATAGTAGGCTCTTTCTCTCCAACATGTGGGTCTGGAAGATTGAACTCAGGGTATTAGGCTCAGTGACAAGCACCTTCACCTACTCTGCGTCTGGCCAGCTTCTGTTTTATCATTTTTCAAAAAAACTATTATTGTCTGATTTATATATATATAAAATCAGGTGAGTTATTTCCCCCCCAAAGTTGTCAGGTTTGTATTTGAGTTTTGAACATTTTTTTTCCTGTAGAACATTTCTTTTTAAGATTTATTTTTATTTTATATGTATGAGTGTTTTGCCTGCGTGTATGTAAGTGTACCAGTAGTGGTGCCAGTAGAGGCCAGAAGAGGGTATCAGATTCTGAAACTAGAGTTAAGGATGATTACTAGCTGCAGTGTGGGTGCTAGGAGCCAAACTCCCAGTCCCTTGCAAGAGCAGTAAGTGCTCTTAACTGCTGAGTCATGTGTCCAGCCCTCTTTTCTTTCTTTTTAAGATTTTTTCTTTTTTTTCCTTTTTGAGACAGGGCCTCTCACTATGTAGCCCTGGCATGCCTGGAACTCTTCATGTTAAACTAGACTGGCCTTGAACTCATTGAGTTTTCGGCCTGCCTGGGATTAAAGGTGTACACACCCACATCTGACTTATTTTTATTTATGTATATGTGTGTGGGTTTGTGCAGGTGAATGCATTTTCTCTTGGTTGCTCTGAAGAGGGTGGGCAGGCCCCTTGGAGTTGGAGAAACAGGTGGTTTTATTTAAGCTGTCTGACATTGGTGCTTGTAATTGAATTTGGGTTATTTGCAAGAACTATAAGGGCTCTTAATTCCTGAACCATCTCTGCAGCCCAAAAAAGTCTTTCTTTTGAATGAACACTTCTTTGTACATAATAGAAGGGCTCAAAAGACTTTTTATTACTATTGTTTTTGGGTTTTGTTGTTGTTCTTTTTGAGACAACGTCTTTCTGTAGCCTCAACTGTCCTGGAACTCACTGTGTAGATCAGGGTGGCCTCCATCTCAGAGAGATTGGGTCTCAATGTATTGTTCAGGCTGGCCTTGAACTAGCTTATTAGCTTAAGCTTGAGAAATCCTGCTTCAGCTTTCCAAATACCTGGGACTACAGATACATGCTACTCTGGAATTCCTGATCCTCCTGCCTCAGCTTTTCCAGTACTGAGATTATATGTGTATGCCACAATGCCTAGTTTGGTTTATTATTTTAATGTTTTACCCTACATCTGATTTTAAGTGTAACTTGTTCTTGGAGCAGATACAGTAGGCTGTCACTGGGTGCTCTTGATAGATGATTTGATGGAAGACTCAAACCAATCAAGGGAAGTTTATCAACCATTTTCCTGAATCTAGACGTAGGAGGAACAGTTGAATTGGGTATATATAATAGAACTCTTTGCACAATGGTGTTTTTATTTCCTTGAATTCTTAGGTGTCCACCCTTATTGCTTTCAACTGAAAAGTGAGGGATAAGCCAGAGAACATGGTCTATGCCTACAAGATCCCAGCACTTGGGGAGGTAGAGGTCCAAGTATCAGGAGGTCAAGCTCCACCTTTTTGTCTTTTTGAGATAATGCCTCCCTGTAGTCCCAACTGATGTGGAACTCGCTATGTAGACAAGGCTGGTCTCCAGCTCACAGAGATCCGCTTTTCTCTGCCTCCTGAGTGCTGGGACTAAAGGCCTATGCCACCAAGCCCGTCTGCATTTAATGAATTTTATCACAAAGTAGGAAAGTTTATTTTTCCTGAGTACAGTTCTAGTTATGAGGATGACTATTCTAGTTATGAACATTCTGTAGTGTCAAAGGGAGGCTAGAGTGATGTCTCAATGGTTAAGAGCACTGACTGCTCTTGAGAGGAACTGGGTTTGGTTCCCAGCACCCTTAGCTGTTGCTAACTCCAGTTCCAGGGGCTCCAAGACATTCTTCTGACTTCTGTAGGCATTGCATGACATGGGTCCACTTACATACATACAGGCAATACACTCATACACATAAAATAAAAATAATAAAATGTTCAAGATGTGAAATGGTATTTGGAGCTCATGAGTGCCTTCTGTGGGGTGCTTGTTGCTACTGGGTTTGTCACTGTTCAGGCTTCTCTGCTCTTCCCTACTTTAGTCTTAAGTTGTCCAGTATCTGGGAATAAAGCTGGAATCTATCATGCACATTTTTATGGCCAGCCCTAGTTTTTCTCTCAATTATGAGCAGCAAAGCCATAATTTTGTGACATCAAATACATTGTTGACCCTCCTACACAAATAGCACATTTGTGGACAAGTTATTTAAGGTTTCCTACAGTTTCTTAAGTAGTCCTATTTGTGAAAGTAAGAGACTATTTTCTTTTAACATTTTATTTATTATTTTTTATTTTATGTGTTTGAATGTATTGCCTGCATGTATGTAAGTGCACCCATGTCATGTGCTCATGGAAATCAGAAGAGGGCATCAAATTCCCCTGGAACTAGAGTTATGGTCAGTTGTTAGGTGCCATGTGGGTGCTGGAAATTGAAACCCGGTGTTCTGCTAGAGCAGCCAGTGCTGTTAACTGCTGAGCCACCCCTCCAGCCCAGGCAATATTTTCTACTTAACCTTCTAGGAGGTCTTTGAGGCTTAAGTTTATTTATATGGAATAAGAAATTAACCTAGGGCTGGGCATGGTGGTACACTTCTTTAAACCCAGCACTTGGGAGGCAGAAGTTGTCAGATCTCTGAGTTTGGGGCCAGCCTGGTCTATATAGTGAGCTCCAGGCCAACCGGGGCTACAGGGAGATCCTATCTTAAAAATTTAACCTAGTACAGTGTTTCTCAGAGTGTGGCCCCTCAAGCAGCAGTGCAGGTCATGTTGGAGCCTGTTCCAAGTGCAGTGGATCAGACTCTGCAGATGAGGGCTGTCAATATGTTTTAAAAGGTCCTTCCAGCTTAAAGGATATAAATTGGCCCTGGAAAGAATGATAAGGAAATGTGTTATAGAGGTTTTTTGTTCATGTGACTGGACCCTTTTATGGGATGGTGCAGTCAACATGTTTGGCCACAAGAGGGTGATGCTGGCAAGAGTCTGGCAGTAGAAGAGGGTCCTTTTTCACTGAGTTTGTGCTCAGTCCTCCGTTTTGCCCAGAGCTGACTCATTATGGCGCTCTTCCCCACAGCACTCAAGCCTCTCAGCTTTGCTACTTTTCTGGGCCGGCTGTGGGAATCTGAAATCTATTAGGTAACTTTGAATATCTTTATTTCTCTGAGAATGCATGCAATTATTTTAAAAACTCTTACTGTTTTG